AAACTAATTTAGAAAAATAACCAAATGTACATATATTCTATAAACTCCCTCTATTGTTAAATATAATGTATCCCCATAGTTTTAAGACCTATTACCACTATTTTGTAATTGTTACAGGATAATAACCTCAGGAGCTGAAGCCTTACTTAAATAAATAAAAAAAAAAATTCAATTTTAAAAATATTTTTTTTTAACATGATAAAATAGTGTGGCTCTGTAAAAACAATACTKTGTAGTCAAAAAAATAATCCCAATACACAATTTAAATTTTTGATATGTCAACGCTATCTTCGTGGATTGTAAAATAACAGTAAAAACTGTGTAATATTTTAAGTTGTAGTCATMTTAAATCATATTAATTAAAATATTCATATAATGTTGAATTCATGTTTGATATTTGAAATACAATTATAAAACATCATATTATACGATATGTTTCCAAACAAAGAATTCCATAACAACTATAACTACAATGGTAGKTACTGCTGTAAGTATTAAAAAAGTAATAATAATAAGTTAAATTTCACTAAATATATTTCTAATTATATCTATAAAATAAATGCTTAAAATTATAAATCATCTTATTTAATTATGCTTATGTTTGTTGTGTTTACTTATGACAATGCCTAACATTAATGGAATTTTTTTCAACACCTAATTAATTGTTTTGTCATTCCATGTCTCTTGTGTGAGAGTGGGCTGATGATAAGGATCTATTTAGTATTTTTACTACCATTTGAATATTTAATATATGTTAAAGATGAATAGATAGATAAATAAATAATAGATAAATATAAAATCTTTTGTCATGCGCGCGTATAGGGGAATAGGTATGAAAACGGTTAGACACTTATCATATATTTCTGAAGTGTTGAAGTTGAAAAGGATACGAATAACTTGGCCAGATTTTCACTAATGATAAATTTTGTTATTTGGTATTTTGATCCCGAATGTAACTGCCGTGATTCCTTTGAGCTAAATCGTTCAGTACCATTGACAAATTCAGGAGGGGAGGCCTAGGGGCCCAGACTTCCCTCCCCTCTATACATACTATTTTTCTAATTTTTTATAACTTTATAGTTACTATATACGTAATATAATCAGAATCATAAACATCATATATTTATGATTAAAACGATTTATATATATATATATATAATTATTAATGTATTTATTACAAGAAGTATACAATAATTAAATTATATTTATATTATGAAAAAATTTAAAATTAAGAATAAAGTGTATATTTTGATTATATGTTTGCTGTAAAAAAAAATTGTTGTCTCCCCTCAGATTATAGCTCTAACCTGATTAACAGTGTAAACCATCAGTAGGATTTAAATTTTATATTGATAATATATGGTTTATACATTTTTTTTCTAATCTAATGATAAACTGCAAGTATTACTTTAATTTTACAATGATTATTAGTTGTGGAGTAAATCATTTAGGTTGATAGTTGTTGGTTTATCAAATAACTAATGTATTAAGTGACGCGTATAGATACTTGGTCCTAGTACGCACATGATTTATAACGTATAATATTTAGTTCAGCACATCATATTCATAATCTGAATTTGCTAAGTCTCGTCACTTGTMAGCTATCCAACTTATCTACCTTTACTTAATTCATACTAGATGTAAGCATATACGCTGTAATAATGTGATATGGCTGTAACATAAAACAAGTATAACATATAATTTTTAGTAATAACTAATACACAATAATTACCCGTGTCGTATTTAATTTTTTTTATGCCAACATCTATTATAGTAATATTTATTTTTTATTAATTGGTTAAGTCGTTAAGGGATGCATTAGCAAAACAGGTTATAAATGTATGAGAGACAAGATAAATTAAATGATGACAAATATATCACAACGATATCTCACTACTAAATCAATTTTAATGATGGTATAGGTAATCACAATCAGTGCCTAATAACAACATTTAAGGTACGTGATAAATCAAATTTTTACATACTCTAATAGCCTATAATCATTAAAAGACTTAACGGTTATACATGCAAAAAATACAGCATGCTATTAAACCCATTAAATATACGAGTATATAAACGAAAAAACTAAATGGGTACCTGCAGGTACCTAGTTAAATTTAACTTTCCCAATCTTGTATTCAAAATAAATTAAGTCATGTAGGTAATTAATCCATTACCATAAACTTGCATCATAAATACCATTTTTTAGTACATTATGATATAGTTACAGGAAAAATAAATATAGCGTTTTCGTTTTACATACTTAGATCGCTGCTATACGCATAAGTAGCTAGGTACTTACCATTCCTAATTCTAGTGTAGTGTTATGATTTCAGTACCTACCTTCAATCTTTCTATAGATTGTGAATATATCTGTTTTTCCGTAGAAACTAAAGCTATTTAAAAACATTATAATAATTTAAAAATTAAAGTTGGTGTGTAATTCATAGACATATCACTTAATCGTGTGCAGAATCTTAAAACACAAACTTTCATTATGTTTTTGACAATTTGTCGTTTTCACTAAATATAAACAAGTTTTAAAGTAACACCATAAGCAATAATGCAATAATAACCAAAATAATCGATATAGTGCACAAAATATAGAAATTTTACCATCAAACTATGAAACTATTCACACCAATGTACGATAAGTCTGAATGGATTCAAAAAATGAAGAACAATAATAAAATACGATATGATTAATATAATATACTATTACAATTTATAATAAATGCTAAATGCTCGACAAAAATTAATTCWACTTACTGTATTACTAAAATTAAAATAAATATTACTTTAACAGCAGTTTAAATATATCATAAAAATACTTAGTAAAATAGGTTGACAGACCTTCATCGCTCAGAATCGTTTTTCATATGCAACGATCGCCTATACCATACAGAAAATCGCTTACCTACTTTCCCCCTTTTATTAATTTCATTATATTTATTTGAATTTTTTTATGAGTTACTGGGAGACATTATGTGCTAACATTGCATATTATATAACTACAGTACATATATAGTAAATAAAAACCACGTGGTGGGGGATACATATTAATCGATCGATTTCAACCGGTATCAGGTTTATAATAATATATGATTATGAGTAGGTAACCAATTTTTTTTTTTTTGAAATCAGAAATTATTTTACCTTTTTTTTCTAAATAATGGTATTAAGGCATCCATTATAGGCATATAAATCACACTAAATAAAACTGCTCCAAAACATTCGTACTGTATCACGAACAAATAATAAGGGTTAATTATTCCAATTAATTAACACACTGTACTTACCTACTTATTTATGTAGTAGGTAATGTATAAAAGTATTTTATATTATTTTCAGTAGCATTGTTTGGAAAAAAAAATAACCTTTATTTCAAGTAATAATAATAATAATAAAAACATAAACAAAATCTTAAAAATAAGTATATAATTAATAACTGCAGTAGTAATGTACCTACTAATGTATCTACTATTAGTCTGCATTTTATGTTCAGTAATATCTCATACAAATATATTTATTTCAGACAATGTAATGTGTATTTAGTACATTTTACTCGGTCTATACGTGGTTTATATAGAAACGGAGGAAATAGAATAATACTATTGAGATCATTGAGTATAATATTATACTTAGCATATATATATTGTATACATTGTACAATATATACTCAATGATAATAACTAGGTATACGAGTAAATCTTACATTGCATATATTTCTATGGCAAACAAATGTTTAAATTATTGAGTTCTTGTATTTTTTTTAACTTATTATATTCATTTATATTTTTACACTGAATTGATACTTGAATACTTTTGAAGTGTTGAAATACGAAAATATAAGGTATTTGTATGAAACCCAATACGTCAAGACGTATAATGATGTATAGACAACTTTGTTAAAAATAGTTTTAAAAAATGTTCGAATCAAATAGAATTAAAATAGAATTAAAATTAAATTAAATATAATATATAATATATGATTTTGTGTTGTGTTTTTCGCTTTTATTAGCACGATCTAAAATCATAAAATAAATATGAAATAATTTCCTTTGTGCACAGCAGTTTTTTAAATATCATGTAGATATGTAATTAACAACTTTAAATAACGTGTTATTACGTATACTGAATAATAAATAGTTACAAACAAATTAAATGGTTTGTTTAGGTTATCCACTGAAAATGAAATAAAAAAATAAATATTAATAGACGGTTCATTTGAATTATTCTAAACTTCTAAAGCATATAATAATAAAGGCTATACTGTTTAGCTTTTATGCTGTTTTACTTTTAGCTACTTATTCTACTGTCTTAGGTAGAAAAAGGAAGCATTAAATATTATAACACTTATTTTACGAATTTATCTCTTTTAATAATGACCCAATACTCTGCAATTACTAAGCATAGTTATAACTTAATACTATTATTACAAAATAATATTGAATGTTATTAAATTTTCCAATAATATACGTCATGCCCGTCATGGGTATATTTTTAAGTCACAAAACACGATGCAGTTTCAYGACTAGGAATTTGAAAAGAAATTCAATTGATATACCTAGAGATGAAGAATTTTCAATAATTATTGTATAGCCATAATAGTATGGTACACGAAACCACGTCATGAAAATAATAGCAAGTACCTACTGTGATTGTATTGAATATAAAATATAATTATGTTTTATCCGAATATCCGTCTTCCTGAACATATTATATTTKAAGTTGTCCAATTTCAGAAGTCACCCAGCCGAATTGAAATAATAATCATCATTAACAGAACCGGACTGTCGGGTGTACCCGTGACAATGAAACACAATACATTTTTTGTAACTTATAAGGTCAAGACGTGCACGCCGATATATGGCAATATACTCGGCGTTGGTGGGTCAATATGGGTGGGTTATAGCTACTCGAAAAATCGAAAGTATATTTTATTGTATGTGTTTATAGATATACATATATATATATATATATCACATCGCTGTCGACGGTCGTGCATCAGTAGATCCAAGTTTGTCGTCGAACAGTTATACGTTTTAATAACATTTTTGCATTGCGTGAATGCACACCGTCGTGCCGGCCCAACAAACATCATAATATTAATAATAATTATTTAATAATAATATGATGGCTATGATGAGACGTAACGCCGCGCTGGTCGCCCTGTGCTATCTGGTGTGCGCGATTTCCAAAACGACTCGATCCGCCGCATCTGTTGTCAAATTACGTAAGTTGGATATACCTAATACTGCACCGTCCTGCTGACACGTTCGTTGAGCTTAAATCTACCCTTACCCGCAGTAGTTACATATATCTACCATATCTACCCTTGCCCAACTTCGTCTATAATATTCCTATGTTATATAATGTCGTTCCATTCCATATAAGTCGTAATTTATCATATTTTCAACGACCACTGATGTTTTTTTAGTAAATTCGTTCATTCTATGTATCATATTACATATTAGATTGTTATTATGATTTTTTTTGCCATTGTTTTCAGCCAAAGGATTCATTGCATGCAAAAAAGATGACCCCGGCGTCAACACATGTATTCAACAAGCACTACAAACGGCCGTACCGCATTTAGTCAAAGGTGAGTCAAAATTACTGATAATTATACAATCTTTATACACAAGTCATATATTATTTAGGAGATATTCACATATTGTAGATCATTGTGATAATATAATTTACATTTTTCTTCTATATAATAGTAAATACGTAAATAATAATATATTATTATTTATTTTCTTAACTACAATTTTTCATTCCGTCGAACAACAAAAATTTACCGTACGAAAAAATGTAAAATGTTCGTAAAAACTAAAAAACKAAATATTTTATTTTTTAATCATCATAAGTCTTAACTACGATATAAGTCAAACTAGCCAACAAATACGTGTTTTGGGTAACGTATATTGATCACATCATTCCATATTTTTGTATAACAGTTGTTTTTGATGCATACCAATGCATTTAAGAGATATAACTTATTTAATTTCAACACGTTGTGCTTAATTTATCAGTTAACTAAACAATTTATTGGTGTATCAGTAATTCAAGTAAAAATATAACACTGAACTATCAGAATTCATTAATCTATAATTGCCATAAATATAATATATATATATTTGCCTGTAATTGGTAAAAATTCGATATTTCTACAAAAAAATGTATTTTGTTAATTTTTATATATAAATACTGAGCTCATTAAGATAGAAAAAAAATTGAATGTTCCAGACTTAAAAGATTTTAATGTATAGTAGAATCGATACGACTCATAAATGATATATTACTATGTTAAAATAACTCTAAAAATAAAAAATATGTTTTTTATATAAAAATAAATAATAAAAAGTTATTCATAAATAAATTATTTTAAAAATTTTAAAAATTTTATAATATTACCTAGCTTTAACAATTCATTGTTTAAATTTTTATTTTATAAAAAAGAATTTTAATTAATTTAACTTGGAAAGTAACAGAGGTACGCATAAGGCATATGGCAAGTTGAAAATGTTTCCCTTAACTCTAAAATACACTAAATTCAATCTAATTAATATGAAATGTATTGTAAACAATAACCCTAATAAGGTATTATATTATTTTTATCTAATGATTTATATTTATTATTTATTTAACTATGTTATAAACAGGCATAATATTATTTTGTAATTATTAGATTAGATTATAAAAATTACTTTTTAGTTATAAATTTAAAAAAAGCAATTATGTGTTTCTAAACAATAATKATCAAATGTTATAACAACTAATGTTAATAAATTATTATTATTTTTTAAACATTCAACAGGGTCATTGTTTTATATGTAACTTGACCAATTATACAAAATAGAAATAAATTGTTATCAACATGTGACTATCATTATATAAAACCAATACAGTATAACGTGAATGAATAATGTAGTATTATAGAAAAAGCAATATATTACAGTACCTACCTATATTACACAATAATTAATATGCTGCTAACCTTTTAAGTATATTTARTTCAATCTTGATATATATATACGAAAAAAAATACAAAACATGACCATGTTTCAGACTTAAATCTAAAAAATTATCAGTATAGTAATATTTTTTTTTGTAGTCTCTCTTCTACGCGTCCTTAAAATTTACCTTGCGTTACAGAATTCGGTTAGCATAATAATAATGTAAAGAAATTTTCAATAACTTGCGTCAATATTAGTCATTGTTCGACCAAAGAATTGGAATACGTTCAACAAAATTTTTAAAGACAAATCAAAATACAGTTTAAGATAATCAGATTTGAAAATGGCTCAGATAGTGGGTTGAATTCCCCATAAAATGTTCAGTTATAATCAGACTAAATTATCATCTAATTATGAATATTTTTAATAATTTTTGACAGTATAAGAATAAGATTGTGATCGACAAAATGTTTTTTATAAGCCCTTGAACCTAGACTCTGGGCGACACTGATAGCAATCAATATGACATTTTTTATAGCCTTGAAGGCCGGAAGACTTAAGACGAGTACGTGATGACATTAGCATGGGTGCCCGTTAACGTAATGTGGACGGAATAACATTATCGCCGATTTTGGCCCTTCTACCCACTCTTCTACCAAAAAATTGCAATAAACTAGCTACGGGTTAACACATGGTTACACATGGTAATTGGTAATAAACTAATAAATTACAAAGATATTTGTGTTTTGAACTTGACCATGAATATAGATTTTCAACAATGTTCATGTTATTACTACTAATAATGACTGGTAACTTAGAATAAACATTTTAAGACTTGTGACTATAGACAGTATAAGGATGTTATTTAAATTATTAAATTATGAAGAGTATAATATTTTAAGCCTAAATCATAATCAAACCACATATTTTACTCACCGAACAAATGACATAATGTAATAGGTACACATTAATAATGGTGGTAATCATGTAGTTCTGCTTGGATGGCACAGCATAACAACGTACCATTGTAATAACAATACATTACAGTATTTTTAATATAAGGTACTACAAATCCAGTTGAAATATAGAAACCATTGCATAGTACCTATACCTACATAATCTGATTGCTAAATTCCGATAGTATATTTTCATATACATAGATTCTCAATACAGATCAATAATTAATACCTTTATTATATTTTGTAATATTCTATAATATTCTAAAATCCTTTAACTACCTCTAAACGTTTTTATAATTTTACTTTCATAGTACATATAATAATACCCATATTTGGTTGAAACATAAACATAAACGTGTGCATATTGTAGTTTCTATATTTTTTGTACACGTATATATATGTACGTATATACGTAGTATAATAATGTAAAGCATAGGTACATTTATATAGTATTACAACAGAATGCATAATTAATGTAGGTAATGGACAATGGTTGTATTTTATTAATATATATATATATAATTATTTTTTATATGTTTAATAATAAAAATGTGAAATACCTATATACTGTATAAAATCAAACAGGATCCAAAAACCTACTAAGGACAATTATCTCGTTAACTTGCCTCACCGCAGGGTAGTATAGTATATTTATTGGTGTATTATTTATAATATATTATAATTTAACAAAGCAATTAAAAATTATCGCATCCAAGAATTAATTCTGACTGTACCTAAAAAACCCCACATTAATGAGAATTCATGAAAAATGTTGTAATGTTTATGGTAATTTATAGTAATATTATTTGATTTTGATTACACATAGAAAAAATGTTGTCGGAAAATCAACCTCTTCCAACACTTCAAGATACTAAATTGATAAAAATGACGTTTTTGAACTATTTAACTTACTTAGCTCAAAATATAAAAACATTTATAAATTTTAGTAGTAAATAAGAATATTTAAATATAGTCATATAGATAAATATCAAAAATTACATTAGTATTTATATATCTGTTATAAATACAATAGTTTTAAATGATCGAACGTTGGAACTAGAAAATAATTCAAATAAGTTTATGAAATTAATTTGTTAATAGATATAACTTCACAGTTTTTACTAGTAAAAAAAAAAAACACATACACAATTCAAAAATTAAGCCAACTATAAAATTATAATACACTAATATACAGAAATATTTTAAGTATTATTAAATAATTATTTAAAAATATTTAGCTTGACAGATGAATTAAGAATTTTCATTTCTAATAAATATATAATAAAGAAACCGATGTAATATGGTTTTTATATTTTCTAGGAATACCAAGTTTGGGGCTAATACCAATTGATCCTTTAATAATATCACAAATGGATATAAATCAAGGTGTATCTAATGGTCCCTTAGACATCAAACTAAGCTTCAAGGACCTTTATATACATAATATTGGGTCTATTAAGATAACATCAATGAAGTAAGTTATACAAACTTTCATAAAAATTTACCTAGTAAAATGTTTAGGTACTGAACAATGCCATAAATGTATAGTGTATGCATGTCATATAATTTACTCGAGCACAATTATTTATAGTACTTGAAGTTCAAATTTTTGCAAAAATCGTAAATTTCATGAAAATTAATTATTTTCAATCTAAATTTTTATTAGCAAGGATTCATAACTTAATACAATGTTCTGCATAAGTTTTTCTTACAAGACGTACAATCTCAAAAATTTATACGCACTTTTTTATATATATAATATATAAAGATATAAAGATAGATAGATAGATATTGTAAGTTCAAATTTTGATGACATTTATTTTTGCGTGATTAAAAATTACTATTATTTGGGATTTGAAAGTTTTCATCACAATTTATATTTTGTATTTACTAAACGCTGTAAAATTTTAATAAATTATGTAATATATATTAATACGGTTCTATACAATACGTCTTTACTCTTTATTGACTCATACGTTTATAACAGCTATAATTGTTTAGTACTATTATATGAAATAATATTATTATTACCTATATAACGTATTGTGTTATTTGAATATTGGCGAAAATTAACTCAACCTTAGGTGGCTATTACTAATGGCAACATAATTAATAGGTGGGTACCAGTATAATTAAGCATCTTTAGATAGGCGATAGACCGTCTCCGCTCAGAGTGGTTTTTCGTAATATGCAATCAATTATTATTGAATTCATAATGAATTATACACCTAGCTAGTACAGTGACCTACTCAATAGCGAGGTAGGAACATTCGATACCTTATCTATAAAGCAGATAACTTCCCTGGTGTTTTTTTCTTTTTATTATTTACTTAAATAGCGTATTAATATAAATGTATTCTTGTTTTCTTACAGATCGAATATAAACAATCATACATTTAACCTTAAAGCCGATTTTGATGAACCACTTGTACTCGAAGGCATGTACAATATACAAGGAAAAATTATTATTCTACCAATAAGAGGTGAAGGAAAAAGCAATTTAACTTTAGGTATGTCCATTGACTATTATTGTCATACTTATTATAAACAAGTTAAATTTACTTAAATCTACATAATTTATTAATTTTAAATTTTAGCTGCATTGAAAGTATCAATTGACATAAATGGTAAACCAGTTACAAGGAGAGGTGAAGAATACATGGAATTAGAATCTTTAGATTTAAAATTTAGTACATCAAGACTTTATATACAGCTAGATAATTTGTTTAATGGAGATCAATTATTAGGTTTTTATAATATATTTTATTGAGTGCATGTTTTGTGTAGGTACTGTATAATAATATGTTCTTTTATTAATAAAATAATAATTTTTAGGAAATAATATGAATATGTTTATGAATCAAAATTGGAGGGAAATTTTAAAGGACCTTCAACCTGCATTTGAGTCAGCTTTAGGGATGGCATTTCAATCAGTCGCTCATCAATTTTTCTACAAAGTACCATATGGTAAAATATTCAACTAAATGTAATTATATTTCTTAGCTCTTTTTACGTAATAATATGTGTGTTAATTTGTTTATTTATTTAATTTGTTATGGTTGTTTTGTATTATTGATTGCTATTATAATGTAAATATCTCAAATAGAAAAATTGTTAAATAACTATTTTTTTTTACTTAGAACCTACTATAAAAAGTAATGTACTTAAATAAAATAGTTTAAGTGGATTTATTAGTAAATTCAATATAAAATATCGTAAAAATTATATTAAGTATACAAACAAAATGATTAAATAAGTAGTTACTTGCTACAATCATCAAAACAAATACCTACTAAACTAAAATATAAGTGTTTCGCAAATTATTACGGTTTTAGGTACAACTCTGATAGCATTTTAAATTAAAGCTAAAAATTATTCGATAGTTAAGTCAGTGAAAATACATAAAGATTGGTTTAAGATTTACGTAAAAAAAATATATACATTATGACTATTATGTACTAATTCAAGTATAGGTAACCTATCTACTAATATTTTTTGTAACTCATTAAAATCTCCAGTTCTAGTTACCTATGCATTTTAACGTAAGATATCTTTGATAAATGAATCAAATGAGCTATCTATACTAATCAATTATTATTCCATTAGTATTATATAAGAAAAATAATATAACTAGATAGAATATTTACGTATTCTATTCTAGCGTATCAATTAATAAAGTTTAAGCCACGTTAAAATCATCAAAGTCCTTTTACATGAAAAAAAAACAGTATAGTTAGATAATTAATAAAAGAATTCTTTAGTTGAGCACTAAATTATTTATAAATACATTCATGACTTGTATTCGAGTTGTATTCATAAATAATCTAAAGAGAGACGCTTTTCATGAAAATTATTTACGTTTTTAATATAAAAATATAAATAGTATTAGCTATTAAATTTAATAGTTTATACAATTTGTTTTAAAAAACAACATATGAAATACTTCAATGTCCCATAATGAATGTATGTCAAACACCGATGCGTACTTATATCGTTTTAATTGGAATTTGGAAGTAAGCTATAAATTGTCACTTAAACTACAAAATTACCAACGTAAAATTCGTCAAAACAAAAATAACATTCACATTATGATTTACAATTAATTGTATTTTTGTACTTCCTACTACCTAATTATAGAATATAAATTATGGTTATAGTGGTTATACAATCTTATATTTAAATTATTCAGTTATTTAGTACCTAGCTATATCTCAAAATCTCAAAATCTAATAATTATTTTATTCAAGTTAATAAAAATGTATATTTTTTAAGAACTATGTAAAACAATAGATATTTCATCATAGTGATTAAAATTAGATTAATTCAAATTGCACGGCATAGTATTAAAAGAAAAATTATGCAGCATAGTAACAAACAGGAAATTATACAAAAGTATACTAGGTGCAGTTTTAGTATAATTTATAATATACACCACCATCATCCATCGTGTGGATGGTATAGGTACGTATTACCGGCCGGCGGCCAGTTATTCATTACACTCATAATTATTAACTATAGGAAGTGTTCTAATGATTAATACAAGATACTATATAAGATAATATATAGTATATGGTAACCATTTGGTTTTAATTGTATTTAAAATAAAAATTTAAAAATAAAAAATAGAATCCGAATTCACAAAAACTTGAGTGCTTAAAACAATTCGAGCACCATAAATGTTTTAAATTATTTTCTCACTCAGTAGTTAGCTGTTCAATCCTAATTAAAATAATACCTATTTACACTCACCATGGTAGAATAAACGCGATATTTATAATGACGATTTTTAAAGAGTTTTAAAATTTAAAATATTTTGAGTGTCTATTGATACTAGTTCTAGTTCTTCATCATATTTTTTGTTTAAAATATTGTAATATAAAATAAAATAATTCATTTTTTTTTTTTTTCATTAACTATCAAAGTATTTTTATATTTAGGTATACTCATTATATTAAAAAACTCAGTGGAAGGTAGGTACTATATAAATTATAATTAATCACCATTTCAAAATCAAAAACATGGAAATAATTATAATATTATTATCACGTCATGACGTGGAGTTTTATAATAACATACTGCCAATTTGATACGTTGTTTGTTTATAAATTGTTAGTAGGTACTTACTACTTATTTATGATTAAAAAAAACAGATGAATAACGTAGGTACTCAACTAAGTATAATTATGTTGGAGTTAGAAATCAGCGCATGTTAAGAATTATAATAATAAGATGGCTTTGATAAAATATGGAAATTCGTGGGAACATTCTTAAGAATAATTTGATTAAAACTGACCAGTTGCCCACACACCACAGATTTGAAAAAAATATATTTCATTTACATCTAATAGGTATAATATAAAATTACATACTTATATACGTGATATAAATATAAATATTTATATAATCATATAACTCATACTACAAATTAGTCTCAAGTTCTCAACACTAATCAATTGTCAATTGAATTAATTATCAATTTACAATTTACATAGTAGGTATTCTAAATATTTTGAAGCAATGATTTTGTATAAAAAACCGATAAACATATTATAATATCATGTAAATTAATGTTTCTTTGCTTATCCTCTATAGTCTATAATATAGCAACTACCAAGAGATTCTTTGATATTTTGAGATCTGGGAGATGCTTATATAGCTTGTTTGTTCAATCAATATAAGCCTAAAAAGTTGCTRTAAGTCACACTTGAATTTAGTTTTTGGTCAAGAAAATTATTGAATCACAATTTGTTTATTTAAATAGTTATCATTGGTTGAAGATCATATTATTGTATTAAAATTCATAAAAATGTGGCAAATGAAAATGCTTACAAATACATTTGAAAATTATTTCAAGTTAAAAATTCATAAAATATTTGACTTTTTAAATCCAAGTTTTGAAAGTGTTATTTAAGATTCCTCATAAGTTTGTCTGATGTTTTTCAAAAAAATAACTGGTAGAAAATCAAATCACATTTTTATGAGCTTTTGAAGTTCAAATTTTTACAACACTGGATATTCACTCAATTTCTCATGGAGTGATTTTCTTATTTTGTTATGATTTAAAAAAAGAATGACCGTAGATACTTGAAATTTATACAAAACGTTTTTTTTTCATCGTTTTCTACACTTGATAAAAATGTCAAAATTGTTTCACTTATTTTGTGGCTTTGAGCTGTTGGTACAATATGTAAATTTTTATTTAAAATTTTTTTAGTTTTTTTTTGCTATAAATGTCAAAAGAATTTTGTTTGTTGAATTAAAAAGCTTGAAAATTTAGTAGAATAGTTCAAGGCATCTGATTTATAGTTACAATAGCACTTGAAAAATATTAAACATACATAACAACGATTTTTATATAAGAATTTAAAGTTTGAATTTTGAAAGTTTTTTGACTTGAGAGTTGAGATATTACACTCACAAAAATTTTAGGATACTGAACCAAACATGCAAGAATGAAGAAATTATAAAACCGTCATGATAATTTGTATATAATATGTTGAAAGTAAATTATATTATTATAGGGCCGGGTACTAAAATGTATGCAGACGGGTTTATTAAATACCCTACAAGAGTACAAGCTATTTTAAATTCCATTAAAATACGCACTTATCTATATTACAAGTTAACGATCACATAAGCCGCTGATATTATACGATTTAAATCTCAAGGATATCAAGTGCGTGTGCATTCGATTTGCGTGAATACTTGGTAATGGCCATCATCTATCGAATTTTCTATGAACTATTATGATAACAATACTTACTGGTAGAGAGCAGCACTAAATCACCATTAATCAAATACTATAAAATATCGAACGAGGAAACGAGATCCAAAATCAATGAGAACAAATAAATAAGTGCTTGACCGAGGATAGATGCTTAACCCCCTCATAACAATGTTTTTAAATTAGTTTTCTTAGTAATTTTACGTATAATTTTTTTTATTGTAAGACGACATTTTTATTCAAAAACAAAATAATAGAGTTTAGTGAATACTGATTACTGATTATCTTATGATTATTAAATAATATTTTAAGTCGAACAAAGGTATATTGATCCATATTGCGTCGAACATATCACAAAATCTAATTATCTATTTATGTACTCGTCAATTCAGATATAAATAACTAGCTAATTGTCAGAGGCAATTGTACTTAGTAATAAATAATATACTATACACCAAATAAATAGGTTGGTAGGTAATTATTATAAAAGCATGAACTATTTATTATTTGTAATAGGTAAATTATTAGGTAATAACTTTTAGTACCTATGTAGTCTGTTTCATAAAAATTATTATCATAACTTGTTGATATTGTTGCCCATATTTGTTAATATTTGCCATCACATCCCTATAATCTTCTATGTCTCTATGATAACGAATATTTGATCGAGACACAGATATAAAGTATAAACTAATTTATACCTACTTTATATCTGTGGTTCGAAGATCTTGTTTTCCAACGACATATGTCACCAGAGATATTTTTATTTGCAAAAAAAATGTCCAGGATCACCATTTTATATTGTGTAAATGCCATCAGAATTTTACAAAATTAGACAAGTCAGTGACATCGATTTTTCATAGAAACATTATAAATTGTACATATTTTGTACTTATTAACTATCGTATCAATACTATAATATTGAATACAAATAACTATATAATAGGAGAACAGAGTATAATTGAATAAACATAATATTAATTTAGTAAGTTCACTTAAATATTTAAATACTTACCTATATGATAAAATAATTTAATATAATCTATAAGTAACTCAGGATAATTTACCACCAAGTATACTCAATCATAATTATTCTTTTAATAGTTCTTTTAATCAAATACCGATTTTTGAATTTTTAAGGACACTTAGAGATCATGTTTTCATATGCTTAGTTATTTTTATACCACTTAAGGGTTTTCATTTATCTTGCAGTGACAATGATGGTCAAACAAATTTTTTTATTAAAATTATTAATGGTTCAAAAAGAGTGAAATATTAAAGTGAAAATTCTATCATATTTAGCGATTTAGGGAAAAGGTAGGTATTAATAATTAATAAACATACTTGGTAAATAATCCGTTATGATTAATGATCCTTTCTGAATTAAAACAAAAAAATTAATTCAATTTTGTTGAAAACAGGTGTTGAATAAATATTTTAGTGTAATGTTTAAAATATTTATTCTATACAATGAAATTACCGACATTTCTCACTCATCCGCTCTGAATTTCAAAAATAACTTTGAGTTAATAGTTATGAGTACGAAATCACATAGATCACTGATCAGAAGCACACTTCTGTTTATCAAAAAAAAATTGAGCTACTGCACATATTTTAAATACAAAATAAAAGAATTGTTTTTCAGAACTCTAAAAACCTAGGACAAGGTGAAAATGTATTCAATAAAGCAATATTTTAAAGATATATTAACAATTATTTCAGTTCAAAATTTGCAAATCAAAAAATATCGCAATATTTGGATATGAAAAAAAAAAATGCCACAAGTGGGTCTAAATGCATCGAAAAGGAAAAATACTTTCATTTTTAAAACCAACAACTGAGGSAAAAAATTAATTACGCATTTAATTTAGATTCTAAAGAAGAAACATCTAGACCGAAACGAGTACCGATGAGTACCTATACTGAATGGTGTTTACGTTGATACCTTTGGTTTTATTTATTTTTTATCTATTTTTATTATTCTTTTGTTATTATAATGTTACCTAGACAAATTATTTTGAATTGTATTTGATACGATATGAATTTTGTATTTCAAAGTGTACAGCCCTTATATTACATTTTCAGTTTTTACTATGAATAACACAACATTGTATGTTGTATAGAAAATACTTCTATAAACATTCAGACAAGATTTCATATATATTACCTACGTTTACGGTTCAATTTTTTTTATTTTCTTGACGCTTTTAAAAACTACTGGAAACTTAAACCACTGAATGAATCAACTAAATTCACTTTCCCATCGGAAAAAATACTTAAGTTTAAAATTGAAACACTACTTATTGTGTACACAAGCACAAAAAAAACAAAAAAAAAAACAGACATTGTAAAAACAATAGGTACATTCATAGCTCCGCTCAGAATCTAAAATTAAACATTTCAATAATGAAATATGAACAAGTGAAAATATTCACTTCTAGATGTATTTTAGATTACTTTTTTTCAACACATATTCTCAATTATTTATTTTAACTAAGACAATTTAGAACTTATATACTTGAGCATGACATTGTTTTGGCAAGAAACCGACGATATATTATTGTATAGAACAAATTTCAAAATTTATTTTATTATTTTTTTTTCTTTTACATTTCTGCAGTGCAGTTGAACCAACTTTTCAAATTAACACTTCAGTATATTTAATTAAAATATTTTTCATATACATATATAAATAAAAATTGTTCGTTGATTGGTTTGTGAGATATGCTCCTCAAAGTATTGGTGGTTTTTATTATTTTTCCAATAATTGTAAAGACCAGGAGCTAGTGATAAATTCGATATCGCTGAATCCAATAAGGCAACAAAATAAATAACAATTGTCAATTAATTAAAAATTACTATTGTACTTTGAATCCTAATTATTTATTAACTTATCGACTAATATTAGACCAATTGGATTTATATTGTTACCTTAGACACAGACTATATTTTATAGTCTCTGACTTGGATTCAGCGAAATCAATTATCACTAGCTCCTGGTCTTTACAATTATTGAAAAAATGTTAAAATTTACCAATACTTAGAGAAATTGTATCTCACAAATTAATCAACAAAAATAAAAATGTTAACACGTAAATTCACAAAAAAATGGTTTTATTAATTCATGATTTTTTTATTATATGTTACCATTTGAAATTCAAAAGTTGATAGTGGTTTCACCAATAAATATAAGGGTGAAAAAATTTAAATATTTTACGGTTTTAAACAAACATAAACCTAGATTGTTGAAAAAAAATTGAAAAACTTATTACTTTTCAAGATAATTGGTATCCGTCGTCGTCACAGCTAAAATAAGCTATTTACACGAAATGGGACAAAATATGTATGTGGGCAACATTATTTTTATCGAGGTGATAAAATACTTTATTGAGTATTGGATATTATATTTTGCAATTTATTTTTAAAGCTTGGAAAGACTTGGAAGTGTACTTACATTATAATAATATTGATGGGACGAATATATTATTACTAATTACTATTATTAGTTGTTTATGTATATAATAATACGTTAATATCATTATATATAGTACGTTTAATTATAAAAGAAAAAAAAACATCACAAGAACATGTACCAATAGAAATTCAAAAGCTGAAATCTAATGTCCAAAGGGTGAGATCTAAGTACAATTTTTAACAATAATGAACCGGATGAACCGATCATAATGTATAGTTCCCAACGAATTAAAAATTTCAGTCAGGTCAGATAACGTTTTACCTATCATATTATATTTAATCATTTTAATCATTCAGTCATTATGATAAGTATAATATAAAATAACTATTATTTAGAAAAATTCTGAAATCAACAGAATTTAACAGTAGATATTGTTACTAATTGTAATTCAATGAATAGGTGATATTCTTCAATAACAGTCTAATGATTAGACTCTGATCGACCAATTATTGTTAAAAATATTATTTACCTTATGAAGTTTATGTGTAAATAAAATATTTGGTTTGAATACGATTTCAAAAGTAAAAACTGCACAGTCCTTTTTAATACCTACCTTATTAGGGAAAAAAATTCAAGAAACCTAACTGGAATTTTTAAACAAAATTTATTCTGTAGTTTTTATGCTTACATAGTTACAGGTATTATTATAAGTTTTTATGTACCCATATAATTCTAACTTATAAATTAACAGATCCTTTAAATTTTCAGAAAATATTTATATTATAGTTATTGTCGTATGTTATACATGGTTATTGTGAATATAATATTATTTAATATGTAGGTATATAAAATAGGTAACGCTTATAGGTATCTCAAAAAAGTAAAATTTTTTTTAAAATTATATCTTGTACTGAAAATAACTATTTACATAAACATTTTGTGAAAATTTGGTGTATCTACGGTTATTTTTTTTAAAATTATTATAGAATATAAACATATAGGTTTCAACTTTGTCAAAAACTGGTTTTACAAAAGAAAAATCCGGTTTATCAAGATTTTTCCTCTTTTTTTACATTTTATAAAGCCGTTAAAAAGATCAGGTAAAGAGGTGTTTTAGCTTCGAGTCAGTTTGGCGAACATTTATTTAGAGTCCCAACCAAAAAATATAATTGCAATTTTAGCTATTATTTGAATTTAACTATAAAAAATATGACACAAAATCATAATAATATCATAATGATAATGATACTAATTCCAATGTACTTCATGAGTAGTAGGTACTAAAAAACTTCTAATGGGTGCTTATTTTTTTAGATCACTGAGTGAAACATGCGAAATACAAATTTTATAGGTAAGTACCACCATCAGGTCAATCTACGGACAAGCGGCGACTGACGAGTGACAATTGACCACTCGGCACTCACAACTACTGATATCTGACAATTTACGAGATCGTAATATTAAATAATATAACCTGTAAACGAGTTTTGGATTCAGGAGCGTAAATTGGTGAGGACTGACAAGTTGACATAATTTGTCTGCTATTTGGCCGTGGTGGGAGTGAAAGATATGAAAAAAACCGAAAGGTCGTCCGGGAGACGTCTCGTGTAGATGGCGGCACTGACCACCGATAAGTTTATTATTTTAATCTTTTCTGTGGTACCTATGATAACCGAAGTGGATTGAAATACATAATCTTGATAACAATAAATCCTCGACCGACGGCTGACGAGTATGTACTAAATGTACTAGGTATGTACTTAGAATGTAACGGACGACAACAATTCGAGACTGTCTAAATTGTCTTCGTTATTCCCTTAGGTTATAGGGCACATTTGGAAATATAAGATTTATTCTGGTCTTCATAGTATAGGCTCTTTCAACCGAACAAACAGCAATCAATTTTTGAACAAGACGTGAAAATATACCTCACGATTATAACTCATAAGAGCTTTATAAATATTAAATACCAATATTATTAAAATATAATATAATCTAWTTTTGTATTTATAATTAAAAAGCACGTCGTCGTCGTCGACTAAACTGCGCTAGTGCGCTGCAATATTGTAATAATGTAATCCACTATTCACAGTACAATGACGGGGGCTAACCGTATAACAGTGGTAATCGACGCAACCGCCCTGGTGTCGACCACCCCGCGTAAAAAATTTAAAACATAACCTTCAATTTTGCTCGACAAAGCATATTTTATCCGTTTTGTTTACTTCTTTTTTTCGCTCCGTCTCTCCGTCACTTTTTCTCCTGCACCGCGAACCCTCCCGGCCATGGCTATCTCACTCGCTCTCTTTCAATTGACGGGCGGCGTGTACGTGCGATATGCCGTTCTCTCTCACACTATCGTTCGCCATTTGCCGACGGGACACGCTGCCGCCACCGCCACGGGCCGACCGGACGCAGACTGTAGAGTGCAGACACACAACAGTATCACACACGTGTCGTGTAGTACCGGCGTAACGCGAGCAGTCTCGTTTGGCGATGCGGCGGCGTTTCGAACTCGTTACCGTCATTGTACAACTACCGCGTTATAATTTAATCCTGTCCGCGCCACGGCAACTACAGTACGGTTGTAGTTATTAGTTACCTAGTAGTTACACTGTTACGAAAATATAATATAAACTAACCCATTCGTTTCGCGGCAGGTAAGTGTTTTAAGTATGACGTCAACTTCGTCGTCGAGTAGTAATTATTATTGTGCTTACAATAAATTATAATTTATTATACCTATTTGCATTAATAAATCATAATGATTGTAGACTTGATACTGACAGCAATATTGCCCGTTGTTGTTCATTAAAATTTAAAAGATAGTGGGATTTAAAAACGAGAGGGATATTTGAATTTAAAATAGAAAAAAACTATTGCCTGTAAAATGTTTTCGTATTTATTGCTTCGGATGTTTGGGGTCAACGGTCAGACATAATATGTCTGCGGCGCCGTACGAACAGCCCCGACCGTATTATTTTTATCATGCTATTATTTAGTTACATGCAGGCTTGTCGTTAGATATTTTCCACCCTCAACCGAAAATGTCATCCCGCACTTCCTTACCGAAATTTGCTTAATTTTGACGCCTTCAATTCCTTTAAAATTTTACGTATATCACCCTAGAGCATCACATGACTTGCTTGTGCCCTAACGATAGACCTGGTTAGGTATATCGGTATAAGAAATGTGATATATAATTGACGTAACATGTAGAAATATTCTTTTATAGAATAGTTGGTAAAGGTTCCTCTATCAGGTAGTTGTAATAGGTACATTTTCGTGGCATATCGATGTAGTAAACTCGTATAATAATAATGTAAATTACGTTTGAGAGAAAATGTGTTCGTATTTTTCGTCACGCGTGGTCTGCGATGGAATGGCCTCAACGCAATTGAGTAGTCTATTCTAACTATATATTACTATAATATGTTATATGTCTACATAATATTTGTGAGTCAAACGAAAAGTTTTACGTTAGCATAGCTGATCGCAATTATTGTGGTTGTTGTTGTGGCTGTACTGAAAATTGGATGTAGGTATGATACCGGTTTCTAACTACCGTTCCGGAAGCCGGATATGTAATAAATAATTAAATAATATTTCCTTAGAACAACGTTCCAAGGGATTCAGCGCACTACTCCGACGGGCAATGACGTAATTCATTTGTGTGTGCCACCCGTTGTTTTCGATTTTATTTATTTGTTTTGGACACCAATATTGATAAATGATTATTAGAATAATAGTCATAGTTGTTTGAAAATTCTTCAACCTTTTTGATAGATGAAGGACTAGTAATAGAATATCATAACGTATCATCAATTGATATATACTACCCAATATTTTTAAACTCGCTTTTTAAATATTGGGGGACTGTTAATAACTATATGGTATATTGATTATAGATAGTAATATCTAATATCTATGCTTAGCTATACTAACTATTCTGTGTCAGTTGTTCAGTTATCGATGTAAACGTAGTGTAGTCGCAACCGCAAGAATCAAAATGTGTACAATTTCAAATTTTAAGTATCATACCTCCTTCATTCATCAGTTCATCACTTAAACTTAAATTGTTAAAAAAAAAATAGTAACTATGKAATAATATAATGCACATTCCAAAAAAGAATATAATATTATGTACCGYTTTTAATTGTTAAGATAATTTACAATCTGTGTACAATTTTTACAATAACCAAATTTGATATTTACAATAGGATTAAAATAGCATGAGTAACGTGTAGAGTAAGAATAATACGCTTTAGTATTATTTACCTACTTGTTATTTTTCAACTAACATGACGGGGTAATTATTTGAACAATTGAATTTTAAAATATTTGAATTAGTGGAGTTGGTTTGAAAATTCCGAATTAATCACACTATCTAATTAAAGGCGCATAATTATGTAGACTTACTGCAGTTATTATACGTATAKAAATTATTATAAAAATTATCTAAATCATTCGAATGAACAGAGATTAAATYTGATTTAGGTACGTCTTATTGTCCTAAGAATCATTACTCCAAGGTTTAAAACTTCAATGGAATAAAATAACAATGTATCATTAATATTCATTATATATTTTACAAACTATTTCTTATGTAAATATAAAAGTCAAAGTAAATATATATTTTGAGAAAATTTGCATTTTTTTCTTTACCTACTTGAAGTAGGCTACTTCACAAAATACTTTTTAGGTGTATAATTATAGAATTGTATGTATAAGTATGCAGTTCCATATATTGTATATTTTTTCATTAGAAATCGTAATATTTTTAAGCTAAAATTAATTCATTTCTAAATTATTACCTACTATAGTTATTTATTTTGGTATCATGTAATTTGAAAATACTACCTTAGTGTCATATAACTATTTTACCAGCTTAATTTCCTTGTGTTAGTGGTAGGAAACTAGAAAAGGGTTGGTTGTATTAAAAAAATATGAACTAAATAAATATTTATTTTTTTATTAAGAAAGACAATTTACAATCTGTACACAGTAATTACACAAATAAATATTAAATAACTATTCTTCAAGTATTAACACCCTACAGATTGCTGAAACAACCTTAGTTAGTCGAATTYGCTCCTTCCAATTTACTCGATAAAAAAAATTTAAGATTAAGCAATTTATCACAAATAAATATTAAATATGATAAATATTGCTTAATCTTAATTTTTTTTTATCGAGTAAATTGGAAGGAGCGAATTCGACTAACTAAGGTTGTTTCAGCAATCTGCAGGGTGTTAATACTTGAAAAATAGTTATTTCGTAATAACTATTGTTGATTAGAATTTCTAAA